TACATATAGTGTGTCAAGTGTATCCTGTCTCTATAGCTCTTCCTCGTTTTACCGTCTATTTTAAACAGATAAAACGTCTTCCAATCACCAAAATTAATTTATTCTTTAGGCCTATTCAGATAAAAGTTGTAGCAGACGTTCATGAACAACATACACAAGAGCAGTCACAAAAACACGCTACAATGCGAAAAGTATTAAGTAGTGCTGAACGCCAAAAATGATTTTGTGCTAAAAAAGGAGCATTAAGTAATAGATCAACTCAAAGTGGCTTTCATCAACCACGAACTAATGCTGAACGTTAAAGATTATACAAAGCAAATAAGAAATGACGACACAAAATACAGAAACTCAAAAAGAAGAGTTTACACAAACCCAAGAAGAGCAATACATATGTACAACATCTCGTTAAAGAATTTTTAATGTTGCAAATAAAAAATATATTTTACATTCAAAAGGAAATTAAATTAAATTTTACCTATTCCTGATCCATTTATAAATTATTAGCCATGATTTTTTCCATAAAAGTTTGGAAAATGAGTAAAATCCCACGGCATTTAAATGGTATTTTGGGGGCTTGTTGATTCAATTATCGTCTTTCGAGTAAGAAAAATTTCCGAATGCTATTTAGTCGTTAGCCTGCACTTGCGCAAAAATGTAAATTTTTAGGCCAATATTTACAAAGAGCGCAAACTGTAGAGCTGTAAAAAAAATAGATTCAATTGTCTTCTCTAGACGGTAAAAAACTTACGTCGCCACTTGATCTGCGTTAGAAGTTACAAGTTTTTCTTTGAGAGGTTGGAGTTGGGCGCAAAATTTATGATTTGTTCATACCTTGAAAGGGACGCAAAAATCAGCAACTGATTCGATTTAAATGAAATTGAATCAGTTGCCCCTGAAAATTTCAAGTTGATCCTTGCTCTGGATTAGAAGTTAGATAATTTTATTCGAAAGGTTGCAGTTTCGCGAAAAGTCTATTATTTGACAAAATTCCGCAAAAATCAGCATCTGATGCGATTTAAATGAAATTTTGCGAATTTTTGTATCCAAGTGTCTTCTTTAGCATCTAAAATTTTTAAGTCGCTCCTTGTTTTGGATTAGAAGTTAAGAATATCTATCAAAGAGCTTGCAGGTGTGTGAAGACGTTATTTTTAGTCCATCATTTGCAAACACCACATAAATTAGCATCTTATGCAATTTAAATGAAAGTTTGAGTCTGGGTTAGATTCAAGTGTCTTTCGACTGTAAAAATTTTATCTGGTTACGTACGCTAGATTAGAAATTAAGAAAGTTTWCTATAGAGCTTTCCGTTGCGTGATAACTTTCATTTTCAGACCAACATTTRCRAAKGCGGCAAAAATCAGCAYCTTATACGGAGTAAATGAAATGTTGAGGAGTTTTARACTCAACTMTCTTGTTTAGAYTGTAAAAATTGCAAGTYGCTTCTTGTTCTCCATTAGAARTTAAGCATTTTTATTAGATAGCCTCCAGTTGCGCAAAATCGTTCATTTTCAGACCAATATTTGAGGAGCAAAAATCAGCTTCTGTCGTGACTGAAGTGAAATTTCCAGGATCTTTGGACTCAATTATCTTCTTTAGGTTGTGGAAATTTGATGTCGCTATTTATAATGGATTAGAAATTAGAAAACTTTATTCAAGGGCTTGGAGTTGCGTGTAAACGTTCATTTTTTGACCAATATTTGCAAGAGGAGCAAAAATCAGCTTCTGTCGGGACTGAAGGGAAATTTTCAGTATGTTTGGACTCACTTATCTTCTTTGGGTTGTGGAAATTTCAAGTTGCTACTTACACTGGATTAGAAATTAGAAAATTTTATTCGAGGGCTTGCAGTTGCGTGTAACGGTTAATTTTTAGACCAATATTTGCAGGAGGAGCAAAAATCAGCTTCTGTCGAGACTGAAGTGAAATTTTCAGGATCTTTGGACTCAATTATCTTCTTTAGGTTGTGGAAATTTCAAGTCGCTACTTGCACTGGATTAGAAATTAGAAAATTTTATTCGAGGGCTTGCAGTTGCGTGTGAACGTTCATTTTTAGACCAATATTAGCAAGAGGAGCAAAAATTAGCTTCTGTCGGGCCTGAAGTGAAATTTTCAGGATGTTTCGACTCAATTAGCCTCTTTAGGCTGTGGACATTTCAAGTCGCTACTTACACTGGATTAGAAATTAGAAAATTTTATTCGAGGGCTTGCAGTTGCGTTTTAACGTTTATTTTTAGACCAATATTCGCAAGAGTAGCAAAAGTCAGCGTCTGTCGGGACTGAAGTGAAACTTTCAGGATCTCTGGACTCAATTAGCTTCTTTAGGCTATGAAAATTTCAAGTCGCTACTTGCACGGGATTAGAAATTAGAAAATTTTATTCGAGGGCTTGCAGTTGCGTGTAAACGTTCATTTTTAGACCAATATTAGCAAGAGGAGCAAAAATCAGCTTCTGTCGGGACTGAAGTGAAATTTTCAGGATGTTTGGACTCACTTATCTTTTTTAGGCTGAGGAAATTTTAAGTTGCTACTTGCACTGGATTATAAATCAGAAATTTTTAATCGACGGCTTGCAGTTGGGTGTAAACGCTAATTTTTAGATCAATATTTAGAAATGGAGCAAAAACTAACATCTGACGCGATTTACATGAAATTCTGAGGAATTTTATCTAAAATATAAATTAGAATCCCAATTAAAACGTTACGTAAATTCTCCGATTATAAAATTATTTAAAAATAGAGAAAAATAATTACAAGTGCATTTTAAAACTTTTTTCTTCAATTTCAATTTAAGCACGTATATTCTTGGAAGCATAATTAGCCACAGCCTTCTTATTGGTTTCGTGATATGCTTGAAAATATGCGATGCTCAATTAATGAAAAATTTCCATTGCTTTAAAACATCCACTTTGTCGGCTATTTCCGCTAATGTAAAACGGTTGTATCTAAATTTGAACAGCCATATCATCATTTTAAGTGTACACTTAATGGCTTTTTAACAGTATGGGAGGAACATTTTCATTAAGATAAAACTATCTAGAAACGCTGGGATGGTTAAATGTTGTCATTACTTTCACAGACCAGTCTTTAATAAGCATAAATTAATTTAGCACAAAAAAGAAATCACACGAACCCTGGACAATCAATCTGTAGATCAATTGAATGTACCGTTTTTTAACATTTGAATTGTATAGCTACGGGCTGGAGGTCTTGCCAAATAAATTCCTATGGCAAAAAAATGGTCACGACTGAAACATCTGTTAAGTAGGTACTTACTAGTGAAATTGACGATGTAAGCAAATTTTGTTATGAAGACTTAACGCAATTGACCAACATTTAAATTTTGGGAGGAAATTTTGCTTGTTTGATTTTTTAAATAATATGATGAACTCCTGAACTGTATTTAGCAATTATTTAGCACACTGAAGTCTTTCCTATATAGTCTCAATGTGTTCTTGAATGTTCTCTATTGCAATCTTCTATCCATCAAAAACCTTCATTGTTAGCTTGATGAGATCATCCCAATATTTCCTACCACCTCCAAACAGACGGTTTATGTGGATTTTTTCACATATTATCTCAATGAACTGTTGCACTCCAGTCGGGCAAAGAAGGTTAAAATCTTTAAAAATAGCGCTTAAATTTGAGAGCTATGAAATAAGGACCTGCTTTTATTGAACCAATTTAGATAAAATTCGCACAACAGTCGGATAGTAATGGATATTTTCGCTGAAGAATTATTTATAATTATGAGCGTGCAAGTCAAATTACCATCGGGATTTCAATGATAATTACAGAGCGAGAATAATAACATTGTCATAAACACATGGTATATGATATCAGAGTCATAGGTAGGCGTCTACTGTTTCTCTCCTAAATATTTTTTTCCGTCGTAAACCAACAGCCTTCTGTTTTTTCTCTGCTCTTTTTGTTATTAACTGTTTCTTCCTGTTATTAATTCTACCAGTTAAAGATGTCGGAAACTCCACCATTCAGCAGAGAGCAGTTGAAAGTTTAATAAATAAATTATTAAAATATATATTCAGTATATTCGCGGGCTATTTAGTTCAAGTGTAAAACCACTTACCAAAGCATCTGGTTTCAGCAGGTTTATAAATGAGGAAGATATGTTCCAGGTAAATAAGCTAAACCAAGTGGTTCCCACAAATGTGTCTCCTGCGTTAAGATAGAGTACCGGAGGACCAGCGCTTTCTTTAGCTCTTTGTCTATATGCCCTAATTACATGAGCAGTTCGAGCCATTCCACCTGAAATGAAAAAAAAATATGGCCAAAGTTTCTGTGATTTGCTCTGAACTTTTCCCGTATTTAAGTGCAGTTTTCAGGGTTGCGATCGTTAGTTGATTAACAAAAAGCTTTATCCAAACTTGTCTCGTTTTTCTTATTTGTCTTTATTTTGCAATATTCCGCTCATTTAAACAATTTATTCGCTCGTGCCGCTTTATCACTGCTTTTGGATTTCTTGCCGCCAGCTTTAGATGACAACAATTAAGATTAATGGATTATATAATTCACACTATTTATTGCTGTAAAGATCTACATATGTAGAGGACGTTATTTTTATTCCAATTTTAACAAAGGCGCAAAAATAATTGTGTAATGGGATTTAATTAAAATGTGTCTTAGGATTCAATTGACTTCTTTAGACTGTAAACATTTCAAATCGCTACTTACTCCGGGTGAGAGCTTTTAATCAAAAGTTGCAGTTGCGGAAAAAATTTATTGTTTGATTGATGATTTACAAAGAACGCAAACATCAGCATCTAATACAATTTAAATGAAATTGGGAGAGTTTTTAGATACAAGTGCTTCCTTTACACTATAGAAATTTCAAGTCCCTGCTCAGTCTGGCTTAGAAGTTACGAATTTTTATTCAAGAGCTTGCAGTTGCGTGAAAAAGTCCATTTTTGTTCAGAATTTGCTAAGTACACAAAAATTAGCATCTTATGCGATTTACATGCAATTCTGGGAGTTTTTAGATCCAAGTGTTTTTCTTACACTGTAGGAATTTCAAGTCCATGCTCATGCTGACTTAGAAGTAACGAATTTTTATTCGAGAGCTTGCAGTTGCGCGAGAAAGTCCATTATTTGACCGAAATTTGCTAAGGACGCAAAAATCAGCATCTTATGCAATTTAAATGAAATTGTGAGACTTTTTGGATACGAGTTCTTTCCTTACACTGTAGAAATTTTAAGCCCCTGCTCAGCCTAGCGTAGAAGTTACGAATTTTTATGTAAAAGCTTTCAGTTGCGTGAAAAAAGCCATTTTTGCCCAAAACTTACTAAGGACGCAAAAATTAGCATCTTAAGTGATTTACATGCAATTCTGAGAGGTTTTAGATCGAAGTGTTTTTGTCACACTGTAGGAATTTAAAGTCCATGCTCATGCTGACTTAGAAGTAACGAATTTTTATTCGAGAGCTTGTAGTTGCGCGAGAAAGTCCATTATTTGACCGAAATTTGCTAAGGACGCAAAAATCAGCATCTTATGCAATTTAAATGAAATTGTGAGACTTTTTGGATACGAGTTCTTTCCTTACACTGTAGACATTTTAAGCCTCTGCTCAGCCTAGCTTAGAAGTTACGAATTTTTATGTAGAAGCTTTCAGTTGCGTGAAAAAAGCCATTTTTGCCCAAAACTTACTAAGGACGCAAAAATTAGCATCTTACGTGATTTACATGCAATTCTGAGAGTTTTAGATCGAAGTGTTTTTGTTACACTGTAGGAATTTAAAGTCCATGCTCAGGCTGGCTTAGAAGTAACGAATTTTTATTCGAGAGCTTGCAGTTGCGTGAAAAAGTGCATTATTGAACAAAATTTGCAAAAGAAAAATCAGCATGTGAATGAATGTAAAGCATAGACAGACAGACCAATTGGTGGAAAAAATAGATATTGTTGTTCGCCCATCTGATGGCTATTTTCAATTTTTCCAAAGAAGCGCAATTTTTTAAATAATTATGCGCTGCATAATTGATGTAATGAAATGCCCCGGATCCAAAAGTTTTCGATTTGATCAAAATTGAGCTGGTTTTCATCCAGAATTTCGGAATGGAGACAATCGAGTTCTTTAGAATGATCACCTCTGTTATCTTTCAAAAATCATGCAGCAATATAAAACCGCCCGGCTTTATAACAATGAACCGGATAAAATGATTGTCAGTATTTGAGGTGTTTGCTTTCATTTCTAAATCTGTAGTAAAATATTACGCAAGTGTTAAGATCAGGCAAGTGAAATTAGGCTAAACAGATCAAACTAAATCAGCGTTAGGTACATGAATATGTACGTGAATTTTAGAACACTTGCCAACTACTGATGCTGATTATCGATGCCAAATTTTCATGGTCAACAATGTGTAATTTGGTTAATTTAACGGAATTTTAATTTGATGCATTCGTTGTCATTCAAGTGCATTTCTGAATCAAATTCACTATTCGATTGTGTAAGCGATTGGATTTTTTGGCGCAAAAAAATATGTTGAGGTTTTTATTTCCAAGAAACTCCTAGAGAATGACTATTTTCCATTGTGGTTGCTGAATCGAATTGTTTTAACAACCTTAATATGTTCCAATTGAAAACCGCTCTGTCAGGGTTATTAATGCAAGGTATTGGCAATGCAGAATGCGAAATATCTTTTCCCATGAGCTTGACCAACAATAACATTTAGCAAACGTATCAGAACCGATTAGTAGACATCATTCAACCTGCTAATTAGTGGATTAAGCATTTGCTGATAAAGTGTCATTGGAATTAGATCAGGGATTTAGCTATAAAACGTGAATTTATAAAGTAATCTTTGTTTGAATGCTAATTATCAACCCACTTAAAATCCCGCTTCGCTTATAATTCAAAATATTTTGCAGCTTACAAAATTACTATATGGATAAGTGTGGAATAGCAAGTAATTTGCATTACATCAATTAATCACATTTCATGTAGAAAATTGGTTCTTCAATCACTTATTTTATTTACTACTAGAAATAGTTGAATTTGGCAGCAAATGATTAATTTAGTTGTTATTTTTATGTTTTATAAGTTTCTTTAATTTCTGCAATGTTCGATATTTACAGGAAAATTAAAATTGGAGAAATTTGCAAAATAAATTTGAAAAATATGTTCCTTTAAGCCTCAAATGATGAAAATGAAAGGATTCCTAATTATTTACCCACCAAATGCGCTCAAGTGCATATTAGTCTGTTTTGCTAGTAAACAAGAGTTTTTCCTAAGAATTCTTCTGTATCAGTTCTGCTTTTGTTCTTGCTCTGATTTAATTGCGTGGACCAAAAAATTATATTTTGCGTTTTTGTCCCTGAATAGCAACCAGAGCTTTGCAGCTCTATACATTCTCCAAATATGACCCAAAAGAGTTGCTCTCAAAATTCGCATCAATTCTGAATTTCAGTATTTTGCGTGGAAACAAAAAAAAAATACGCAGAATACGCTGATGGCTTGTAAGTTTGGTTTTTGCCAGTTTAGTAACTGAGGGCCTCTGGTTTGAAATTTTCAATCAACTACACTCTTTTTACGAAAAATTTGCATTCTTCAAGCCAAACCAAAAAAAATTTTTAACGTTTCTTTGCGTCTTGAGAAGACACTTGACTGTATAGATAAACCTGCCGAAATCCTGAGCACACAACAGCTTCTCCACTGCGATTTCTACATAAATCCGGTACGTACCAATACATGTGTTATTCCTATTGCCCTTCTGGCAACTTCCAGTGTTACGTTCCGTTTCTTCAAATCGTCCATGCATGTCGTTGTTGTGTAAAATCACAAAACTGAAGTCATCAGCCCTCAAATGTGGAGCTGAGCTGACCAAAATCACATTCAAAGTCACTGCTAGCAGGAAACTGAGCCATCTGGATGCACTCATGCTTCCTTTCGTTTGGATCAATACTGATGAGAAACACGTTATTGGATTCTTGCGGTTTTACGAAAAATGAGGTAGTTTCATGTTAAGTGGCAAAAAATCCTGCGGTAAAGTGGAGACTACTTGCGCTGAGCACTTCCTTCCTGCAATTGAAAATATTCCGTTTAATGACCACGACCGTGAGTTTTGGGACACTGTGTGTCTTTGGGTTTTTATAGCGAAACTTTTCTGCACCCATTGGTCTTGTCGACAATTAAAATTAGATCTAACTTTATTCTATTGTGAAGTTAAGTTTTCATTTTTATCAATGACTGTAATTACTCAATCTCCAGTATCTCAATGACGACACTGTGATTGACTTAAATTGTTTCAACTTCACTAAGCTCAAGGCTGAAACCCCTCTGTTTTCCTCTTTAGAACCCTGAGGATGACTTAAATACAGTCGAAACGGCGGCCCATGAAAAAATAGTGCTTTATTTTTGCCACCATCTATTGACCGAACAACCCACAAATCTAAATAGGCGTCTTTTAGTGATAAATTTTAATTATAATATATCCTTTTATCAGTCGACAGACACAATTTCATTTTCATATTCGACAAACAATTACAATCGTTTCAAAGTTGGTTAATTCCTTTATTGTATTTAAATTAAGAACAAATGTCTCCATTTCGATAAGACACTTTGTTGGGCTTTTTACAATGGTTTAAACGCACATTTTCAAATTGATTGCTTTATAATGGAAACTACGTGGTTTGTGAATGATTAAGACTTTTACGATCGATCACGCAAGCATGCATTATAAACATTGGTCGTCCACAAGAAACGATTTTTTTTTGAAAATTAATAGACTTTTTATAATTTTTGATGAGAAAATTAGTTTGCCCCGACTCGAGCAGGGAAACGAGCCGTGATTCCTGCATTATTTACTAGTTCATACCAGCAGAGTGTTATTTATTATGTGTTCTTTATAATTTATTTTCATACTTTTTAATTTATATTTATATAAGAATTTATTTAAACTTAGATGATTATCTAATGATCGCGTGTTTCGCAGGTTTATCAGGCCGGGGGTAAGTAGATTTCAAGCGGGGTTTAAAGGTATACAAACGACCTACGAATGATGAAATTATTGGCAATTTCGCACAATTTTTAGAGCGAGGGTTGGTTAGTACAAAAATAGCCAGAAAATTCCTTCGAAAATGCAAAAAGTGAGTTATAGAAACCAAGACAGTGCAAATAAGATACAAGGTATTTGATGAGAATGCGCAAATACTTAAAAAATGTTGGTGGGGATATTAAAACCGATTTTTCAATTTAAAATGTCTGCTAACCCATTTGCAAGCAATCAACAATTCAATAAAGTTAACTCAAGTTTATTTTAAAACTAACCGACAAAGAATTTAAAGTGGCTGGTTTGAGTGTCTTTCATCGTTTTAACATTAATGAAATGTTTGCGACTTAAGCCAAAAGACGGATCTCAAGTTCTATTATAAGTAGGACCAGAGCATATGTGAAGCCTGGTTTACACCAATGTGAGCGCAAAGAGGTTTGTTATTTCGCTTGTTCTTTTACTGATTATTTCTGGTTTTTTTCTAACATTTTGCAAACTTTTGCAACAAAAAAATTGGTTTGGGAAAGGTTTTAATGAACAAAGTAGATTTGCAATGGAAAGTTTGAATTTTTTCTAAACCCATGGAAATTGGAGCGTCTGTTTTTTCTACCAGTTAACAATTGTTTTATAACAACTTTTTAAAGGAAAAATCCTTTATTTCGTGACGTGTAGTGGTATCATTATCTAAACCTGAGAGCGACTTAGATATTTGTAGATTTTTTTTTAATAATTGAGGAAAATATAGAATAAAGGCCATAAAAAGTCAGACAAAGACACTGAATTTTGTAAAGTAATTTTAGCAATGTAATTAGGAAAACGTACCCTTTAGGATTTTTGGGTCTCGCACTCAGCCGGTTTCGCGGAATGCGGCATCGAGCGTTGTTCAAGAGCGCGTTTGAACTACTGATTGTGACTGAACTTGCTCGACGATCGCAAAATCGGTCTGAGCTAATGTTTTATTATTCACCAAGAGGATGTAATTTAAATAATTAGGATACTGGAACAAGCCATTTTTTGGCTGCCAACTACGAAAGAAAACTCTACACAGTTATTTTTCTTAGTTAAAATTGATCAAAACATTTCATTCAAATTAATTGCGTGAAAAATCGACTTTTTCACTAACTATATTTGTTTCTCGACTATTTTGCTATTACTTGATTTTGCTCAATACTTTTATTTTTGAACTTTTGAAAAATATTTCAAATGTCAAGTCCATTTTAGTTTTGCTCAAAAATTTGTCATTCTTATGGGAAGTTGCCAAAATGTTGATCATTCATGAAATTGAAAATTGCGATTGTAGGGGCGTTCGTTTATACTTAGTAACAAG